GTGAAACTGCAGTAGATTTGCTTACCTCTGAGGTGAACTTTGTTTTTGGGTGGCAGGCTTGGGGGATGAGGACTTCCTCCTGGTCTGGGGCGACACTTCTCGCCCAGGAGACGACACACTTCCAGAACGTTCTTCTGACGTCACTGATCGCTTAGCCTTGTGGGAACTGTCAGAGCGGTCCCTGCAATACCCACCATGTTTTTCATTCCTATTTAAGGGCTATTTATCTATTTATTTTTTTTCCATATCCACTACAAGTTAGATTTTTGTGCTCTCTGTGTAATAGCATAAAGCACTAAAATAAAAAAAGGAAACCTGCTTTAGTTTAATCCTATAAAAGCAGTTCATTCACACAGACATGTACCTGCGCTTCTCTTTCTTCTCCTTGTGCTTATCAATGTCCCTGCCCCGCTCCTTGGCCTCTTTCTGCTTGTCTTCACCCTTCTCCTTGTTCTTATGTTTGCCCTTGTGCTTTTTGCCTCCTACGGGCAAGTCCAAGGGCACAGGGGGAGGGGGGCTGGGCGTGCGCGGCCCTTTCTTCTTGCTGTGTCCACTCTTGGATGATCTGATTGAAGATTAGAGTGTCAAATGAGTTCTTTTCAAATGATCAACCAAAGCATCAGTAGCACGAATAGCAGTCCAGGTCCACAGTTTTGGCCTCAGTAACACATCTGGTAACTTATGTATAAATTATCAAGCCTTTCATCATCGAAGTGAATCAGGGTTGGTGTAGGGCCAAGCCAGGCGTGAGATACTGCATTATAGTGATTTGGTTAATTGCGGTATTCAGCAGGACCGACGTTATTATTACTATTGTATACACACACAACCCATTTTTTTATTAAAAGATCATTATTAGAAAGTAGAACATTGCAGACCCACTGGTTTTGCTTCACGTGCCTTGGGGCCCCCGGATCCATGGGAAGCATGGGCTTAAACAATCACTTCTGCTGTTCCATTTGTAAAAACTTGGCAGCAAGTACACCAAATGTGATGCAATGTTGATTTTTCAATTCTGATGGTCTGAACAATACACTGGCCAGTCAATAAAAATAAAAAAAATCAGCTGATAAGGTTATTAAGGATGTGATGCTACTTCTCAATCTAAACACAACCCTATTTTCAAACATGTCCTGGCTTACAATACATATGAAACAATAAAATCACAACTGGAGAAACCAAGAGTTGTTTTTCGAGCACCTTCCTACCATCAGAACGAAGAATTTTTCTTTTCCAGTGCACTTAAACACAGATGGACATAACAGGAAGGACATCTCAGTTTGCAATGCTAGTTATGGGACTGATTGAGTGAGGTAATGCAGCTCACATAGGGAAAAAGAGCTCAAACACTCTCAGAACTTAGGAACACCATGTAATGAATGTCATGTTTTGACAACAGCTACTGCATGTAAAGCATTTGGAGTATACATCAGTTTCACCTCCTACAGCCTCAGGGGCATGTTTCTTACACAGCCAATGAAGGCATTTTGTCCAAAACAGCCTGTTTCACTGGAAACTCTGTGCACCACACTGGACTTTTACTACATGTACTATATAATCAAAATGAATCAAACAGACAGTCTTACCCAAACTGAACAGCTGTCCAAGGAACATATGTATCAAACTTTCAACACCACATTCGAGCAGGGATCAGAGCTAAAACGTACCTGCTCTCAGACTCCTCTGTTCTGCTCTGCTCCACCACCGGGGAGGAGATGACTGATGAAGAGGACGATTTCTTCTCCTTCTTGCCGGAGCTGCTGCCTTTTCCAATGGATTTGCGTTTAGGAGAACCACTGGGTTTTCTTTTGGGGGAGCCGCTGGACTTGCGGGACAGGGGTGAGTTCTTGGAGCTGGAGTGATCGGGAGACCCCTAAAAATCAAGATACTCAAATTGACCTCAAGACACGCATACTGTGCCACCAAAGACAGAGTGCTTAATGTGAACAGATGTGTAACACCAGGCCTCCATGTAATTTAAGTATAATAGGCCATGTTCAGACAGGCAGCTCAGATTATAGTATGTGTTTCCAAAAACACACCAAATTTTTACTCTGAATTTGAAGTTAATGCTTATGGTCCCTGCATATATGTGCTGATAACAGCTACTTGCAGCAAGCCATCATGTTTGTTTAAAACCCTACTGGCCATGTAGTGTATAATATAGCAGAATTAAATCATTGTGCCAGAAGGCTTTTTCCACATCAGAACAATCAAAAAATACTATAAACATTTACAATTTATTTAATGTAGCCTCAAGAATTGTTGGATCTTTAGATGATTTGCATTTTTCATTTGAGAGCGAGTCTGAACATAAGGAGAGAGAAAATGTGAAAGTAACTCATAACTCTGGAGAGAAAAAAAAAGTACAAACACAAACAATCACCAAATTCAAATCTTTTTAATCTACTTAAAGCTACTGGGATCTTTATAGCATTAATACTGAAAATTCTGTATATAAACTGATTATTTTAACAGAGTAATGTTATTTTTCATATTATTATGCAAGATACCTTCACTGGTTTTAGCTGCTATCCATTATTTTCATTATTTATATATTTTATGTCAAAATATACAGTTAAAACTCCAAAGATATCTTTAATCCCATGGAATTCTTTTATCATGCATATATTGTATTATACAATGTTAGCAATATATTTTCGGAAATCTATATGTCCTTCTACGTGCCTGTGCTTAAATAAATGTTTATTTATTTACCCTTTGTGTTTTTTAAACAGTTAAGATACCAAACTTGAGAGAGTTAAATTCTTGAGGCTTAATTTTAACCCCTACTTTTTAAGTATAATTATTATTCTTCATTGGAGTTTCAGTACAGTTTCGGCCAGGGGCATCCAATCTTATCTGCAAAGGGCCGGTGTGGATGCAGGCTTTCATTCCACTCAGGCAGGAGCCACATCTGATTCCACCTGTTTAATCAGCTGATCTTGGATTTCAGTAGACTCCGGTGTGGCTTCTGCTTAGCTGGAATGAAAACCTGCACCCACACCGGCCCTTTCCGGATAAGACTGGACGCCCCTGGTTTAGTCTAACCTGGGGAAAAGGGCTATATGAGCTAAAGTACCTTATCTTTAGAAGTGCTGCTGGTCCTGGTCTTGGTCACTGATTCCTTTTCCGAGAATAAGCAGTGTTAAAAATTACGGCTTGTCACACTGACATGTCCTTTACATAGTTTACATTAAATAAACAGCAGCTCATAAATGTGCAGCTGCTTTAATAAATGAGGATTTGTACCTCCTTCTTAATGAGCAGCTCTTCTCGTTTGTCCATGTTCTCCTGCTCGAGCTTCATCAGCTCGTTCTGGATCTTCTGCCTCTTCATTTCCAGGGATAACTCGTAATCGTAGTCACCGTTATCAGAGTCTTTGGAGAAAGAAATAGGGGATGGATTAAAGGAGTGAAAACAAAATCTCCCCATTTTTCATGAAAGTATAATATGTATATATAATATGAAAAATAATATAGTATAATAAAATCAAATCAAATTGAATTCTAGTATTAATCTTACAGTTATTGTTTCCCCCTCATATATACTTAAGAAGTAAATTTTGTATTAAAATAGTATTACAAATTATAGCAAAGCATTGCGAAACTGCTGGCAGGTAAGCTTTGCTTTTTTAATGCTGGTATAAAGAGAACAAGTGTTTTGGTTACAGAATGTTGTTTTAAAGAAGCAGTTTTCATAAAGCATCATTAAACATATGTTATTAAAGGTCTAGAGACATTTTCACAAACCACATCTTTAGCCACTTTTTCTACCCAATCCTGTTCCACTGTAATGACAAGACACATGGGTCCAATACCTATTAACCTTCAGACTTGTGTTGTAATAATTCTATCAACTTATCCTTCAGTACACTGCAGTGCATTTCCAATATGGCGGACTATCACACCTTCGCGATTGGCTTCCCACTCTGCTGCTTCCTCTTCGCTGGCTGGCGTTCGTTCTTTAGTGATCTTTATATCCTCTTTCTCTCTGTGTCTGCTTCGAGATGAATCTCTCTGCTGTTCACACACACACACACACACACAAACACACACAAACACACACAAACACACACAAACACACGTTCACAACATTAGCGCACTGTGCAAAGGGAAGAAGGATGTAGCTTGATTTGTTAATTGGCCTTACTCTAGTTGTGGGTGAAGTAGGTTCGTCTTGGTCTCTTTTCTGAGTGTCTGTATCTACATCCTGTCTCTTATTTTTCATCCTCTCCCGGAGATCACCAGTGGGCCTCTCGGATGATCTACACACACAATAGCAGAGCACTCCGTATACATGCCATAGGGTTGTTAAATAGCTTTAAAGTATATTTATAAATGTAATTAGCCTTTAACCTTATAATACTGCAGATGAGCAAAAGCTGACAATTAGGGCTGCACGATATTGAAGATAAATGCAAATGCAATAACTTGTTAAATAATGCGATATGCGGTACGATAATTCTATAAGTGTGTAAAATCAATTTAAATTATATTTATATAGTTAAAAACTATAAATGACATAAGCAACATTTATGTTTCATTTTCTGTTGAGAAAGCATACTCTGCTATCTATGTCACCCTAAAACTTTGGCTTTTCATAACTTTTTGAAGTATTAAAATCATTCAGTTATCCCAAGCCCATGCAATATGCAATTCACGATATTTACATCTGCGATATTTTGATAATTTCAATATATTGTGCAGCCCTTCTTACAATTTTTAATAAACTCAAAGGGTTCAGATTTGTGTTTATTCACTCACAACAGTACTTCCTTGTCACTGATAAAATTCTCATTTTCACATTTTCCGAAGTTGTTGCTGGTCCTCTTTCAGCTGCTCCCATTAGGGCTCGCCACAGTGGATCATTGGTCCGCGCATATGATTTGGCACGGTTTTCACGCCGGATGCCCTTCCTGACGCAACCCTCCCCAATTTTTATCCGGGCTTGGGACCGGCCCTGGGAGTGCACTGTCGTATGCAACCACAGAGGGCTGGTTCCCTGGCTGGGAATCGAACCCGGGCCGCAGTGGTGAGAGCGCTGGGGCCTAACCACTAGCTCTTCACGGACCCTAGTTTCACGTTTCCTAGGTAATCCACGTAAATCATAATCTTCAAATCATTCTCAGGCAGTTAGATTCAGTCACAAATGGCTTCCCTTTCGTTAACTATGCCCACTCCATGGCACTGTAGTACCCATAGTGTGCATTACATGCCTAATAAAATGCCTTTTGTGCTTCATCCACAACTCCAATAAGTTTAAAAAAAAAAAAAAAAAACTACTTAGATGTAATCTCATATATTTGATGTTTTTGCATTTATTCTGAGATATTTTGCTACATCAAGCAACCCAGTGGTTATTTCATCTTTCTAATGTTTATTGTTTGTTTGTTTATTTATTCTTTTTTTGTTCTGACAGTCCTGACATGTCATCATGTCCATCAGGCCGGGCCAAAGGAAAGCCTCCTCACCTGCTGAATGCTCCAGAAAAATTCTTGCCTCTTGCCGGAGTTCCATGCGTGTAGCGACAAGTGTTGCCGTAACTGCAATTTCCTGTCTTCAACCAATTTCTACACTGTGTCTGGGGGAAATTAAAGCCAAAGTTAACTCCATACATTACTGAATCAAAAGATGGGGTGCTGCTCTTTGGCAAATGAAATGCCAGAGATTGGTGAGGTTTTTAATTCAAATCAAGTTACAAGGCAGCCAAAGTGAGAAGTGTGTTTCTATGGTAATCTTTGACTCAAGTCAATCAGTAAATCGGTGCCTTCACAATATAATGATGAAATCAGATCTCAGATCAGAAATCGGATCAGATCTCAGTACCAGATATGAAAGCAGATCAAAGCAGAACTGGGAAAATGGCTGATTTAATGTGATTTTTGCTGTTCGTGCGGTCAGTGTGATTCTGGGTCACCTCTGTGGCATTACTGCCCGTGCTGGGTCCGAGTCTCTCGAAGACGCTGGGCCTGCGGGATGGAGTGGTCGTACTGCTGCTGCTCTCTGATATGGTCTTCGAGTTTTCCACTGTCACCTTCCGCCTGATCTTGGACATTCTGCAGGGCTTGAGACAAAAATCGCAAACATTAATTAGAACACGGTATTGTCATTTTGCACATTCATAGCTTTATATCACACATTTGGCGATCTGCTACTTGGTTTACACGTGTGCAAAATTCCGCTGGCTGTCCCTTTGCCTGAATTCTGAAAAATGACCAAAATTGAGTTTTTCTGCCAATAATATACTTGGACACCTCCACCTTAAGAAAGCGGACATATATTATAACAAACTGATATAGAATTCTTTAAAACTCTGGTTATTTTCTAACCTTGCCTTGGCTTTCTGTCGACAAAGATGACGTTCGGTAAAACACACAGCGATAAACGCAATCAGTCTGCCTAAGAATGTCTAAAATCTCGCTAGTTTGATTTCCTCACAATTTGATCAACCGGGACATAATCCTAATCGATTCAGTTTGTAATCAGATAACAGCTGTCAAAATTTCAGCATTGCTCGTGAACCGTCACATCATCAAAACAGAGAAGAGCGTCACACGTTCTGTACAGACGACAACACAGAGTCTTACAACGTTTAAATGATCTCACAAGGAAAGATTAATAACAAGATATTTAGTCAACAGTATAGAAGGGAGTGAATGAATCTGGGATTATTTCCTCTAGGATATGAGCATAAAGAGATGAGTGGAGTGAAGAGATGATGGCGAGCCTCGTGTTTAAACGCAGTGAGTGACTTTTACCTCAAGTGACGAGACAGAGACTGATGTGGATGATTATAATCAAAGTGAGAACTCAGGATTTATAATTCTTTCAAATTTGTCAGTAATGTTGTTTTTTTCTATTAGTAGATTAGGATATAAATATATAGGTAGGCAAGGTGTCTTTTAGTGAAACTGGACATCTTCAAATCTTTTCCCCGTTTTCACTTTTAGGGTTACATAAGCATTAAAATGCTGTATATTTGCTGTAAAATAAATAAATAAATTTCAAGAAAACCCTGAACTGTTTCCAGAATTCTGTGTGTAGATGAAAATGTCAGTATGGGTCTTAGTGAAGGGTTTTCCCAGACCACCACACATTTCCGAGATAAGGGCGCGCGCGCGCGCGCGCGCACACACACACACAGTGCACAATATGTAAATAAAGCAGTGCGTTTCTAACTTATTTCTATGTACTTAATCACAGAATAATTCTGACAAGAACAACTGCTGAGCGCTGAAACTTTACCAAAAGAAAACTGAAACTCACTGAACTAGCACCATGCTCAAATGAATTAACACCAGCTAGCTAGCTAGCAGGCTTGCAAAAGAAAACAGCTAACTACTTAGCACGAGTGCAGTTAACTACATGAGCAGCAGTTGAAGTTATCTTCATGGTCTGATACCTATCATTAGAAACATTAATATATTTAATTGTATAAGCGCTTTAGCTAGCTGTACTCCTGCAGCCCAGTTCACCAGCTAGCTAACTAGCAGTGTTAGCTCCTCGGCCTAGCTAACGGTTAAGCTAGTCAGGCTATAAACGAAAAGAAGCAACAAAAAAACACTCACCGAAATGTTTAGTTAAGCACCGCGTCCAGTTTCATAAACTGCTGTGAATTTTGTATTCTTATTACACACAGTAAAAATATCGCAGGTCGTTAAACGGGGCTCCCCAAGCCGCCTTCATGATGCTAGGTAGCGAGACTCCGCAATCTCTAAGGCCGCATCCCAAACGGCTGTCTATTGAACATAGAGGTGCCCTAGGCAGGGTGTAAAATAGAAATAACTTCATCCCCTACACAGTGCGCTTACTTAGGGAGTAAGAAGTCATTTGGGATTCAGTGTAGAGCCATCAGCGCGGAAAAGAGGATTGTGGGAACCTGGATGTCTCGTGTGGTGTTTACAGACCCGGCTGGTTCCAGTACTGGTTCTGGGAAGGTAAATACATCCCCCTAACATTCCCATAACTTTTTTCAGTATGTTTCCCTAACTTTTAAATACATTCCCCTAGCATTCCCATAGCTTTTAAATACATTCCTCTAACATTCCCTTAACTTTTGAATATGTTTCTCTAACTTTTAAATACATTCCCCTAACATTCCCATACCTTTTAAATACATTCCCATACCTTTTAAATACATTCCCATAACATTCCCATAACTTTTAAATACATTCCCATAACATTCCCATACCTTTTAAATACATTCCCATAACATTCCCATACCTTTTAAATACATTCCTCTAACATTCCCATAACTTTTAAATACATTCCCCTAACATTCCCATACCTTTTAAATACATTCCTCTAACATTCCCATACCTTTTAAATACATTCCTCTAACATTCCCATAACTTTTAATTTATTTGCCCTACAGAACGTTTATCTAATGTTCTGGAAACATTCTATGTTGGTTAACAAATTCAGCGCTGGTGTGGAAACTTCTGGAAACATTAAAACACAACATTCTCTTATGATTATATGGCAACTGACAAAGAACATTCACCAAAAGTTGCTTTTAGGTATTATTTCTGGAACTACGAACTAACCTCCTAGGAGTTTCTTCTGTAGCCTAATGAATCATTGTTGGCTTTGCACAATACACAATAATGTCTTTAAACAATATTTATTCCCTTTTGATCAGCACAATAACTTAAACAGTGGCCTATCTACTGGAATTTTTACATAAATGTTTATCTAAATGGCTGTCTGTACATTTGTTTGTATACAAACATAAAACCTAAAAGCGAACTTTGGCAAACTTTGAAAACTTCCTGTAAGAGAATGTTACAGGAATGTTCCCAGAAGGTTAGTTCCTTGTCAGTTGTCATATTACTGTAAGAGAACATGACGTTTCCCAGAATAGTTTTAAAATAAACTAAATTTGTTAACTAATACAGCATGTATTATATGTAAAGTTAACCAACCAACACACAACAAAATAACAAATAGTTTAAACTTTTTCATTTGCTTTTTTCATTTGCTTTATTATTTTCTTTTTGCCGAATGATTTGAGATTAATAGGAATAACTCACAATCATTGCAGTTATTGTGAAAGTGTGTATTATATAGTACCAGCATTATACCATATTCCATGTATCACACATATAACAGTCACTGTATTTCAATACTATCTTACTAATACTAAGGAAATTTCTTCTTGGAAAGTTGTGCCAATGCTGACTTGATTAGCGAAGCCAGCAAAGCCTCATTCAACTAATTTTATTCACTCAGAGGAAAGTCAATGAGGGTGTATTATTAAAAACAGTATTGGAACACATTCCTGGTGAACCACTGCACTGCACAGTTTCAGAATTTCCCTACTTGATCACACAGTCCACCTTATCATGCGCTTTATTATGAGCTGAGTGTGTTAAGAGTAGAAATAACATGAAACTATGGAGGCCAGTGAGAATCCTAGCTGTTAAGAACCTCATATATGTAGGATAAAGGCTGAAGCATTGATTCATTGAAGTTTCTCTAGGACACGCAAAGCTATGGTCTTGACTGCTGCAAGGGCTTCATTGCAGGCGTTACTGATCAAGTTTGGAGGAAGGAGGAAGCCGTACCGCCCGAGATCTTGCAGCTCAAAGGTAAAAGAGTATGTAATGCCTTGATCATAGGCCCAGTCATCTGATCCCCCAGGAGCTAAATCTGATGAGAGAGAGAACAGGAAGTGACATGGTGGAAGTGATAGTGGAAGGTGTATATGTCTAAACCTTTTTTCAGCATAATGAACATATCCTAAAATGGGTAATAAGCTTACATATTGTTTTTGCTCCAGAACCATAACGATAATGGTTTTTGTAATGCCGACGTATTTTCATGGCTGCCTCCTGGACAAGCGTGTACTGCCAGGGAGCACACACACACAAACACAGTGAAAAGTTAATCAAAGTCCCTATGTCTATTTTACATCAGAATTAAAGGAATAGTTTGGCAAAAAAACCACAAATGTATATAATTTTCTCCTTAGCTCAAATGTAGTTGATGAGCCAAGACATGTTTTATGTTTCATGTTCGCTCCTTTAGTTTTGCACTGAAGTTATGACTGTAATGTAGCTCACAAACAG